TGTTTTATATGTCTAACCAATGACGTCACGGGTCAGGTCAAATGTTGCATTTCTGACCGTTTAGGGCATTCTAAAAAAATGTGTTACAACGTCGAGTAAAAGGCATGTTATTGAACATCATCCGTGAAACATTGTTCATCTAATGCATACTTTTCTAAATGAGATCACTGATGCCAGGTCAGGTCACGGGGGTCAGGTCACTAAGGGTCCTAATAGCCGTTTTCAGGACGGCCATCTGGTACACATTTGGTGCACATCTGGTGCAGATTAGGTGCAGATTTGGTCAAATTAGGTGCACTCGCCGGATAGCCCGTCGTGAAAACGGCTAATATGAACCCAACTAGACTAGGCTCGTGTGATACCTAAGTGTATGTTTTATGGTCCATTTTACATTTCAAATGGTTTGAGTTAGACGACCATGGCGACCAGTTTAACCCTCGCCCGTATTGGTGTTTTTCCAGCCGCGAACGTATAAGGGGGGGGGGTCCGTTGGACCCCCCTTGCCGTTTCGCCCCTGATCGAGCTGGAGCTTCGCAGAAAAAACGAGCGTGTTGCCTGTGACGAGAGGAAGCCGATGATACCCAATTTTAAGGTCCTAGGTCATTGGTTGACCTTGCAGGTCAGGTCAATGACCCCAAAGGCGGGAAAATCGGGACCTGTTAGAACGTCGTAAAGTGTGGCTGCTATGGATTTTTCGGGGTGCTGATCACGAATATCATGTTAGTTTTGATCACAGATGATGTCTTCATGTATTTAGGCCAGGTCGGGTCAGGTCAGGTCAGGTAAACCAGTAAGGGTATTCGTAGTAGGTGGCAGCCGCCTCTGACAGCTTCGTAACATGTTACGAAGGCACCAAAACTACTTCGTAAATGTTCATATGGTTGCTAAATTCGAATTCAGCTCCAAAAACTGGCCTAGAAACATGTAAAACTCGAAAAAGTGAACCGAGGTCATCAAAGGTCAATGACCTGACCTGACCTTCAGGTGACCTTGACACCCACCCTAATGCATGGGGGCAACATCATATCACATTTTTGAACGCTTGAAACCACGAAAAGACTGCAAATGCGCGGCTAATGCGAGCCGACATACGCCGAATCGCGATTCCAGCCAAACATGGTCTCGAAAAGTAGGTCACAGGTCAAAGGTCATTTGGGTCAGGGTCATTGTTTCGTCGCAATCGGCCGCTTTTTACGCGAGTTATTCGCGAAAAAACCATGGGGGGGGGGTCCGTTCGACCTCCCCCCCTATACGGGCGAGGGTTAAGTTACGTTCTGGTGAAGGTGAGGTCAAGATCAGGTCAAGAAAAGGTCGAATTGCAAAGTTGATAGTTTTGCATAAAAAGGTAGGTAGCCATTGATGAGCTTGTGACGGGGAATCCAATGGTTGGATTCCTCGTCATTTGCAACTTTCCTTGGTTGTGCGCTACGTGATCTATAGATCGGCTGAAAATCGAGTTTGAACATTTGACGTAATCAACTTATAGGAAGTTTTTTTTTTGCCATAACTTGGCCAGAAAGGAAGGTAATTACCGGTCGGATTTTTTTTCGGATTTTGAGAGTAACCATATTTTTTTGGGAGGGGGGAGTTGTTGCAAAGTTAAAACATTTCACTTATCCCAAATGACAGCTTTTAGCTTTTCTAATTCTACACCATAGACCTCTGTATACCTCTGTACCTATACCTGCAGTTTTATGTTTTAACATTTTTCTGTATCTTTAAAGCTGTAGGCGTGACACCCCGAAAACATTTTTTTTCGAGAATGGCAGAAAATGACCTCAAGTTCTGACGTCATTTGTGGTCAGCCAGCCCCAGGCAGTCATGGGTATTGAAATCGCCCACGCGGTGCCGGGTTAAGTACTAAGCAAATTTCCGGGGCTCTGTTGACATTGTGAAAATAGGATCGGTAGTAGTTTTGAAGATAGGGGAAGGGTAGGTAGAGGTGTAAGGCGCCCCTCCCCCAACTCGCCCCATGGGGTGAACCCTGTTGTTAAATATTTTATATAACCCTAATCAAGTGTACACTTACCAAACAGATTCGGGTCACTCGGCTACCATTGCTAAACACCAGCAGCCCCCGGCGCTGACATGACCTTTCTCAGGCCAGCGCAAGGTGTTACCAATACACCACACGACCCAGCTGTTGCCAAATCTGGCCGTCTTACGTGATCGCAGTATAAGCGGCCTTGCCCTTGAAGGTGCTGGGAAGATTCTCAGTCGGGACGCACAGGCACCCAATGTAAGGTATACTAAGGGAGCATATGCCTTTGTGCGTAGGTACTGATACCTAAACCTACCTAAAGTGGTATGCGTGATGTATATGAATACGTTACAAAAGCACACGTCATATCTGTCTTACTCCTTTGCACTTGTAATGACGTTGTGGAATACTTTCACAGCTAAGACTTCTTCAAAAACTGGCTATAATAGTCAAGTGGTTTGCAAGCAGCCCTCTCCAAATCACACATTAGCGAGCAATGGTGCGGAACGTTCATTGGCCGCCAGCTGACTGCGATCAGCTGACTCAGGCGGCACTACTCCGCCCCGTTACGGCCTTACACACAGCGTCCTTGCGGCATAGGCCCGCGACCTTGCTCCTGTTAGTGGGCGCCGGCGACTGGCACAGATGTCAGCGGGAACTATGTAGGGGAGCGGTCCGTGGCCCGGCTGTTTGCACTTCACTCTTCCCGCGGGGTATTCGCTTCTCGCTCTTCCCGGGAATCTCTGTTATAATATGCGTTTTGTGAGAGCAATAAAACATATTTGAATAACTACTGAACTGTAGGTACTGAACTGGTCCTCATTCTATTCATGTTGCTTCTTTTCAATCGTCCCCGGGATATTCGTAACTCGCTCTACCCGGGCTATATGTAATCAGTAATCTGCTCCTCAGTCCTCACTCTACCTCAGACTAGGTGCTCTCTCCTCTCCCCGGACGTTCAGGGTCTCACAAATCCCGGGCTAGCTGTCCCTCACACTACCGCGGATGTTTGCTTCTCCTCCCTCTTTCCCGTGCATGTATGCACGAGGTATTCAGCAAATGCCTCCATCCCCACTCACTTTTATCCGAACATTGCTGCGCGTGGCGTACGTCATATCAACCACTTGATATAGCGAGGAGTTAACTCTTATCGTCTTATAAGCCTTTACTCCAGTACGCATTCTTACGTGTCTAGTGTCACAGTCAGTATGTAGTAGCCTTGACCCAACGCAATCCTGTCTCATTTATCAGTCTACAATCCACCGAAGCCTAGTAAGAAGAAGATGAGATTAGGGATGAGCGCTAATATCGCAGAAATCGATGGATTCTGCTTGCGCTAATATCACAGAATCCACCGGTGTCTCCACTCTCCGTTTGCATTCTAAGAACTGAAGAGCGCAGATGTCGTTAAGACTGTCCCGAACGTTGTCAGTGGGCGAATGGGAGGCTGGTGGCCTATAAGATAGAAACTCGTTTAGGAGGCGACATATTCGGAGGATAGAAGATATTTATAATATTGAAAGGCATAGTTTGAGGGATACATATTGGTTAAAAAAAATAATTGGCGCTGACTAAACCCTCGCCCGTATGGGGGGGGGGTCGAACGCACCCCCCTCGGTTTTTCGCGAATAAGTCACGTAAAAAACGGCCGATCGCGACAACACTTTCAGTTACAGTACCCTCGCGTTACTCAATTTTACACCTAACCTAAAAATTTCATGACACTGACCCAAACGACCTTTGACCTGTGACCTGCTTTTCGAGACCATGTTTGGCCGGAATCGCGATTCGGAGTATGTCGGCTTGCATTAACCGCGCGTTTGCAGCAGTCTTTCCGTGGTTTCAAGCGTTCAAACATGTGATATGATGTTGGTCCCATGCATTAGGGTGGGCGTCAAGGTCACATGAAGGTCAGGTCAGGTCATTGACCTTTGATGACCTCGGTCAACTTTTTCGAGTTTTACATGCTTCTAGGCTAGTTGTTGGAGCTGATTCGAATTTAGCACGCGTTTGAACATTTACGAAGCTGTTTTGGTGCCTTCGTAACATGTAACGAAGCTGTCAGAGGTGGTTGACACGTACTACGAATACCCGGCAGGACCCCTACTGGTTGACTTGACCTGACCTGACTCGACCCGGCCTAAATGCATAAAGACATCATATGTGATCAAAACTAACATGATGTTCGTGATCAGCACCCCGAAAATCCCTATAGCAGCCACACTTTACGACGTTCTAACAGGTCCCGATTTTCCCGACTTTTGGGTCATTGACCTGACCTGGGAGGTCAACCGATGACCTAGGACCTTAAAATCGGGTATCATCGTCCTCCTCTCGTCACGGGCAACAGGCTCGTTTTTCCGCAAAGCTCTAGCTCGATCAGGGGCCAAACGCGATGGGGGGGGGGGGGATCGTACCACCTTTGTGCCGTCGAATGACGCAAAATGGCCTGTGCCGGCAAAGATTAATGAGAACTTCGATAAATAATTGGACAACAATAATAGAAAACCACTCCCAAAATATACTTTTGGCTATATCACCAGATAAAATATCACCATAGCCTACTTTAACTTCTCACCTATGCCTGATGAGCATATAATTTGCGTTTTTTTTTTTAGAGCAGAAGATGCTTTAAAAAAGCTTTTCCACTCTGCGATGTATCGACGAGGCGTTTTACCTAGGCGGGTCATCTTGCCTCAGGCCGCCATACGTTATCAATCATCATCTAATATAAATGCGAGACCCATTCTGAACATGCCAACTCCATCTGCCAAAAATTCCTATGTCAGGACGGTGAAATATATCGACGTCACTGAAGCATACCTGTCATACCTATCTGTCTCCCCCCATGCGCCAATCACATGCGGCGAGGATCCCCCGTACCACCCCGTGCCACGCAGGCCGTCCCCCTGCTCCGGCGCGTGCCCTCGGGTCATGTCTCTGGCACTCCACGCTACCCGTGACCCTGCCGGCGGCGACGGCGCGAAACGGCCCGACTAGGCGCGCCGACGGCGGAGCTCAGTCGGTCTCAGGTCTCCGTCCGCGCCGCCGCCGCCGCCGCCGCCGCCGCCACGGCTCGTGCCGAGCTATCAGCTGACTGGGGACGGTGGTGCATAGGACCACCCCTGGACGGACTCGGCCATGGATGGAACGAGGGGTGACCGGGTCACCGCCGTGCTGGCGGCTGCCGTAGCGGCTCTTTGTCTGTCTGCATCAGGTCAGTTTCTGGGGGTGCTGGGGTTTGCAGGATTTCATAGCACGGTGACATTGATGACATTAATGGCATGGTGACATCAGACATGGCACGGTGTCACATTCCCTTCATCATTACTCTGAAAATAAAGACATGTATGTTAGGTTTAAACTAGTTTTGCAAAAAAAAAAAAATATTGTTAGAAAATATCTTATCCACTATCCAGTGTTTGGATGGAAAACAGGCAAACCAAAATTCATGCGTATTCGTGCGCTTGACTTGAATGTACGGTTGATGTTTAAAGACCGGCGCACGCTTTAAAATTAGCCAAACTGATTCCATTTTGGTTTAAAATGGGAATTTATGAGAGGCACAATGGTGGTTCATGGCAACTAATGCCTCAGGCTGCCATGGTAAAATATGTTCACTAAGTTTTTAGAGTTCGTAGTGATTGACATATTTTGTAATTCCCTTAGTAAAAATGGTTAGACTTATAATACATGAGATATAAACAACATAGTGCATTTGGCATCGAAGCCAAATCTCAGCTCACATTTCCAGTCTCATAAGACTCGTTTTTGCATCAGCCCTGTGTCAAAACATTATCATGACGTGACATGTCACTTGGGTGACAAGCTCATTTGCAGATTGAACTAGAGGAACACCCTCTGATTTCAACGGTAAACACAGTTCTTACAGGGTGTGTAACTGTTATGACGGTGCAAATGTCCAACACTATAATTGGCGTAGTTGTGTCTATTATTTCAAGTAGCAGCCAGCGTTGCATACCCAATCGACGCGCTGGATGCATGACGTAGACATTTGAACGCTTTTTTAGTCTAATTGGGTGACGAAATTTATTTTCAAAGATACCGCTAGCCTGGATGAAATGCACTTACAATATCAAGCAATATGACAAACAGCGGCCTCATTAAAAGCCTGGCACTTGACTTGCATGATGAATGGGTTGCTTCATATGGACTTCACACCTTCTGAACGCTACACGTGTCAAGCCATGGCGACATTATGGCTTCATGGGACTCACCGTAATGTTCAAAACATCGCCCCGTCTCCGGGCCTCTGATCTGGGATCGGCAATGCAGGATATGCCCAGCTGCCTTGGTTGTGGATCTCTCTGAAGTCTGAATACATAAAGTTGAATAGAATTAGAAGGTGATGGCACAATGCCGAAAGCTTCTCGAAAAGTTGTTTTATTTTGAATCCGGAATTTATGTTTAAGAAGCATGAGAGTTGGGTTATTATTCTTACTATCAGAAGAAGAAGGAGTTAAACTAACTAAGTGCTGAGAGATTATATAAACATAATCTAAGATCCTAGTCCTGACGCGTATAAAGCATATCAAAAGTTATTTTATACCTTGCATTTGAAGGGTGAGCTAGTTAAGAGACTCACATTGACTTTGAATTGGTAAGAGTGGGGCTTCATCCTATGCCGGCCGTGTTTCTCTTCTGCTTATTGACATTACAGCCCATACATCTTACAGCAATACAGCCCAGCTAATACATACAGCCCAATTGGGTAGAAGCTGAATCTTCGAAATCCCCTGGCTCTATCTCTCACACACTACGCTACCAACCTCACGTCGTCTCAGACCTCGTTACATGCCACGTGACTCTCGGTGACCGTGACTCGTGAGCAGCTCTCCGTGACGCTCTGTAACGGCCCGTGACGCTGGGCCGTGACGGTCTCCTCTGAGTGCCCTGCCGGCCACTCGGAGCGGTCGTTTCAAGGCTGGGTTATAGAGTCCCGGCCTGTCGCGACTGAGAGTGGCAGCTCCGCTTCTCTGGACGGGCCGTAGTGCACGCGCCGAGACCGGCTCGACGGGCCCGCGGGAGGCCCCAGTCTGGTTGCGGTTTGTGATACCGAAAAATGGCAATGGCGACATCGGATTCAGTGGCTGGTCTATAGTTTGGGTGAAGTTTGGGCAAAGCAAAGCGATTCGATATTTTATCGAGCACTCAAACTCACTTACTCACCCACTCACTCACTCACTCACTCACTCACTCACTCACTTACTCAAAAGTTCTTCGTAACTGGTGAAATTGTATCAAAATAAAATAACCCCTTGTCATTCCCTGGGCTGCTTGCAACGCACCACGCTCGCGCTAAAGCGTGTTAGTTGGAAACACGTTACAAATCCATGTCACCGCCATGCTCCAGTGATGCATGCTGTTGGCACGCTTGGCCTTGCAATATACACTACCTAGCCATGCTGCCAGGACAACACTGCTTCTCATCGTCTCCCAGCTGCACTTACGATCGTCTGTCGCGTGTCACACCTGTCCGAAATCCGGGTCATGCCCCATAGATAGGCGCATGGGCGCATCCATTTTGTGACCCTCCTGTGACAGACTGCATAATGTGACCTCCACGGGGGCCGCAGCCCCTGATCGTACCCGTCGGTCGTGCGATCAGCGAGGCCGGCTCCTGAGCTGGCCGGCACGTGCATTGCACGCTGTATTGCAAACTGGCAGTGCCAGTATCGCAGGCGGCGGCGGCCCGGCCGGTGCTGGTCAGGCCGGCCGATGGCTGCAACCATGTTTGTTGGCGAGGTCAGCGGACGCAAAGTGTCACGTTCTTGCGAAAGTTTTGCTCAGCAAACGTGGCCGTGAATGATTGTCGACCGAGGAGGTCGAATTCCATGGTCGGGCGCGCGACTTCCATTGTCGATGTGCCATATCAAATTAGCATGCGACAAGCCAAACTCAGCAGAGCACCGGAGGCCGCGAGCTCTAATGACCTCTGCTGCTGACGATAAGCCCGGCTTAACCTTGACCCATTGGATTAGCACGCTGCTGCTGTGTTGCGGTTGAGCAATCTGGATGTCTGTACTGGTGACGTCGTGCACTGCGGAGGCCATGAGCTGGGTTAGAGGGCTGCAGAAGGTGTGAATACCTGTTTATAAGAATTTCCGGTCTTCATTGTTTTGAGAAAGTGCAAGCGACCGTTAAACCACAGCTCTGTGTTTTCCCTCTCAGTTGAATTAGCCGTCTTCCTTCTTATTACGAGCGAGCGAGCGCAGCGAGCGAAGTGAGTCTTTTCAATATAACGGAAAAAATCTCAGTATGAGCGGCCCGGCCCGGCCCGGCCCGGCCCGGTCCGGCCTGTAACGCTTTTGAGAGGCTTATATCTCAGCAACTGCTGGACCGATTGGCCTGCGGTCTTTTTTTGGGGTAGCCCCATCCCTTCTACCCCGTAATTGACTACTTTTGATACATCTCAGTGACCGTCGTGGCACGTGCCACGTGAAAAGTCAAGGGTGTTCAAGCTGTTTTGCAAAAGTAGTGATTTTGAGAGGCTCATATCTCAGCAGCCGCTTGGGCGATTGACTTGCGGTAATTTTGGTAGGGTAGCAGCATCCCTTCTACCCAAAAAAGGATACTCTCGATGCATGTGGGTCACCCCCAGTGCACGTGCAAAATACAACAATAAGAGGTGCCAAATTTGTTCCCATTTCAGTAACTCGGTAATTATGTACTGGGGCGATTTCGCTGAAACTTGGCATACAGGTAGGCACCCACCAGGCAATGCATTCCCATGTGTTGCGGTTAGGGTGCTACTGCACGTGCGCACGTGCAGGGGGCGTTTCCAGATCTCGAGAACGGCTGGGCCGATTGCGCTCAAATTTGGTACACGGTTGGGGACCAGTTAGTAGGGTGCCGTGCAAAAGTCATTTTGGACCCCGTTTGCACGTGCGCACGTGCAGAATGCCGCTTCCAGATCTCAGGAACGGCTGGACCGATTGCGTTCAAATTTGGCACACCGCTAGCGACCGGTTAGAAGGGTGCTTTGCGCAAGCCCGTTGGAAGCACCCTCTCGCCCTTCCGCACGTGCAGGGCTCACTATCTCGCTCGCTCGTTCTTCGCCCAAAAGGCGTTTTACTGGTTTAGTATGAGCACTCAACTACTAAGCTGCACCTTTCCATGGCTCGAAGTCGAGCCCTAATATACGGCCTTGGCTCGAGCTATCTCGAACAAATCTCGAGGTAGCTCTGCATGCCTGCTCATAGTTGGAAGGAAGCTTTAAATTGTCAGGGAACTCAGATTTGTTTTTCAATAGAAAACACAATTCTAAAGAATAGTGTTTTAACTATTGATAACAAAACTTCGGGTATCTCTGGGAAAAAACTTATCATCCATAAAAGCTTGAAGTTAACCCTCGCACGACCAGGCCATTTCTCATAACACGAACGACCAGGGGGGGGGTTGTTACGACCCCCCCCCTGGCGTTTCGAAACGGAAGGTCGTAGAGCTTAGCGGAAAAAACCAACGGATTGCTCTCAACGAGATCTCGCGATTGGTGGTATATTTTTTGGTCCTAGGTCAACATTTGACCTACTTTTGACCGGTCAAAGGTCAAATTTTCGGAAAAATAGACTTTTTTTCAACTTTCCGCGGCGATTGCGGCAAAACGGTGGGAGATATCGACTTGAAACCTTCACTATCGTGTTCCTTGATCAATTCTCTATCGTTTGGTATGTATTTCGTTTCCCTACCTCTAAAAATGGCGCGTTGGGAGCGCCGAAAGTCGGCAAGGTCACAGTCGGCGGCAGAAATTCGAAAAATCAAAATTTAAATTTTTGAAATCTGATTGTATTTTTGGATTTGGGAGGTCCATTTGCTCCCTATAGAAGCTAATATTGCTGCATATTCCCATTGAGGTGACAAGAATTAGCAAAATAGTGGTTCGGGCGCTTTTCAAAAATAGTACCGGACGCTGTTCCTCTTGTGACGTCATAACTCCGTGACCTGACCTGACCTGGTCAAGTTTCTTGCACCACACGATGGCCAATACTTGCCCCAACATGCATGGGAAGTTTCATGACGATCCATCAAACAATGTGGATAGCATCAGCAGAAAACCTCGGGACTCGGTACACACTTCGTGAAAATCCGGCCGGAGGCTGTACCTCTTATGACGTCATAACTCCGTGACCTGACATGACCCGATCAATTTTTTTCGGCAAAAGATGCGCAAGGGTTGCCCCAGAGGGTATTGAAAAT